GCCATTTTCATGCGCAGAAAAGCCCAGATATGGGTTCCTTATGCTGAGAAGGTCCCGAAAAGGTGAAAAACAGTAAAACGAAAATCTGCTGTGCAGGCCTCTAAGCATCTCGAAATTTTTTTGCGAAGTCCGGGACAGAGTTCGTCATGTTCATATATAGGCATTCATAAATGAATACGAAGCTGAACTTGATCGTGGTGTAGCCTCAACTCTATCATGGCAAGAGATCAAGGATGGTTACAGAAAGGTCCGGAAGGTGAGCTTTTGCTATTATTTTTTTTCTTGTGGAGATTATCGTATTCCAAGTATGTCTTTTCGTATCGAGTCCTTTTTGCATGCACAGTTTTTTGTATTGAATTTTCATTGAGTTATTTTGACTAGCTCGGTTTTAGCTTGTTATCACTCAAACTAGAGTCATCTATGTTGTGCCTGAGACCTTGATGGCGAATAGAGTCATCAGGTCGTACGACCATGATGGAACTAGGATAATTCGAGTTGCGTTCAGGTGTGTCTGAGCTGCTCGGTCATTTCCTTTCTCATATTTCATATTTTAGAGATGATGACAATCAAGCAATGCGCTCGAATAAAACTTCTATATCTTTGATAAAGCGCACATTGCAAAAATATATGACGAATGGACTCGTTGTCGCAAGTAAGTGAATTCTTGTCATGATTGCAATTTCATCCTCTATCGTATTTTGCTTCCAGACCGTAATTTTGGCTACTTGGGAAGTTCTAACTCTCAAATGCGGGATTCTGGAGCATATTTTATGGAGAAGTATTCTAGAAAACAGTATGCAGAATATGTAGAAGAGTTTCATAAAGAACCACCTCCAGACTTTCGCCCAAAAATAGACGCTGCTAGAGAACAACTTGGCAGGTAAGGATGGCGTCTTTGTCTAAATTTGTCTTTGGGGACCAGTTCTCGCGTGGTACTATATCATATTGGTAAACTCGCGCGAAGTTGTAGCATCTTTCATGAATCATTGATGCTTTGGTCACACTCATTTTGGTGACGTCATTGCATACCAAACTAACTGAGTATGCAATTCAGATTTACTGTAATGGAAAGTATTCCAAAACTGATGGCTCGACTAGGCCAGTGCTTCACACAAAGCAAGGTAGTTATAGAAAGTTTTCCTTTGAATTCATGTATTGCTTGTTTTCATTCTCAGAAGACGACTATTCCAATCAAGCGAAGTCAATACAAGAAATCTTTTGATATTATTGGCGGAAGTAACCAGAAAGGGTAAGTAC